CATATAAACACATGCGAGGCAGGTCTTGTGCAACTGCACATGAAGATATGCACACGCTGACGTCTGAGAGGACCTGTAGTTGCCAACATGCCAGGGTATGCTGTTGAACTCCAGGGGCGCAAAGCCTCTGCATTTCCTGTGGGTTCCACTCAAGATGCGGCCAGGGCCAAAATAGTTTGACTGTGGGCCTTGGGGGGAAGCTGGGGGCTTCAGGGTTTTGGAGGGTCAAAGCTCAATTCCTGCTTCCCCCGGCGGGTTTTCTGACTCGCGCTGTTTTTGCTTTCTGGCTCATGCTGCTTTGCTTTCCGGCTCGGCCTTTTTGCTTTCTCGGGCTCGGTCCAGGCAGTTCTCAACTCACTTACCCGACTCGCCGGTCACTACGAGGTCTCAGGTAATACCCCGCAAGGGCTGGGGCGAAGCCTGGTTTGGGGGCCGGCCTGATGTTGCTGATGCTCGCCGATTGGGGTGCTCCCTTACGCCCCTTGTTGGTTAGGGCCGGCCTCATGCTCCTGACGCCGGCTCGGGTCCCGTCATGCCCTTCTTGGAAACCCTAATGTCGCGCACGCTCGCTGCTGGCGTGAAGGGTCATGCTATTCATGACTTCTCGTGTGCAGGGCCCTTCCTTGATGCTCCAGCTTTCGGCCACACCCCACAACAAGCCGCATTTGAAGGTTTCCGAGAGTACCTGCTATTGGGCTCTTGGTTTTAATTATGCGGGTGGCAGGAAGGACGGGTCCTTCATCTTCCGCTACGATGTCCAGATCAACAATGCTCGCGCCGCTTGGCTACGAGAAAGACGGAGCCATCTTAAGTGTCGGGCAGAGGCATCATCTGACTCAAGGCTGTTCCATGTTGTCCTCGAGATGTTGTGGCCTTATGCGAGGTTCTGTGCGTAAGGGGGGGTTTGCTTTGCGGTATAAGGGGCCCATCAAATCGGTACCCCGAAAGTGACCTCAATCTAGGGAGTCTGCCATATCCAAACCTTTAGCTCCTAAACCCTAAACCCTAAAACGCCCGAAATCCTAAACCCTAAGCCCTAAACCCTAAACCCTGCATCAGCACACGTCAGGAGAGCGACGTGGAGGTCGTTGGACACTTATGGGAGGCAGCAAAGCTGCATCAAGCGCGCGAAGACCAGGTTTTTTTTTCGTATCGAGGATGCCATACTCATCATATTGATGATCCTAAAGCCCTAAAGCCTAAACCCTAAACCCGCAACCCTAAACCTGAACCCTAGCCCTAACCCTGCTAAGTTCTAAATGCAAAAGCCAAGGTCGTGGACTCTGATGGCCTTCGCCACGTCGCTGCATCCGGGGAGGGCGTGGGAGGCTCGCCAGAGTGAAAGCGAAGAAGCAGGGCATCGAAGGATTTAGGGAATCAGGGTTTAGGGGTTTAGGGTTTTAGGGTTTAGGGTTTTAGGGTTTTAGGGTTTAGGGAATCAGGGTTTAGGGGTTTAGGGTTTAGGGTTTTAGGGTTTAGGGTTTCGGGTACCCCGACAAGAAGCAGGCTTTAAAGATGGTTTAGGGTTTTAGGGGTTAGGGTTTCGGGTTTAGGGTACCCCGAAAAGAAGCAGGCGTTAAAGATGGTTTAGGGTTTTAGGGTTTAGGGTTGGGAGGGGCTCTGCAATAGGGCCTTGGGGCTTTGCCCACGTTGCGGCGCTGTTTCAGGGGGGTGCAGAAGGGGATGTAGGGCTCTCGAAGAAGGGGAAACTCGTCATGCCCCACTTTTTAGGGTTTAGGGTTTAGGGTTCAGGGTTTAGGGTTTAGGGTTTAGGGAAACTCTTGTTTTGGGAGAAAGCTCTTCATGGCTCCTTCTTTCGGAGGAGTCTTCCAAGCAAGAAGCCGCAAGCTGCCGGCGGGCGATGCGTTTCGCGTGCAGGGCCAGGCCGATTTTTTGGGAGAGTCCGGGTTTAGGGTTTAGGGTTTAGGGTTTAGGGTTTAGGGTTCAGAGTTTAGGGTTTAGGGTTTAGGGTATCTCATGCCCACACCCCGAAGGTCCGAAGGTGTTTTGAGCCTTTGTTAAGTCAAGCTATCCGGGCGGGTGGCTTTCTTTCGAGTCGTTGCCTATCTTCAAGTCTATGAATCATCGCGCCTAAGTTCCTTCACCCCCCCCCCCCCGTGTCGCATAAATCCCTTGAAAATCATAAGGGGGCCGGTTTTGAAGAGGATCCACGGACCTTGCGACTGTTCAGGCCGGGGGGGGGGGGTGAGACATGAAGCCCGCAGCCCGCTTAATCCGTACGCGCCAGACGAATCAGATGCTCAGTCTCACAAGGCCTGCTAAGTAGCCAGGGCCGCCCCACCTCCCCAAAGCATGGACTAAGGGAACCAAACAAATCCATGCCCTGAATGAACCCTAAACCAAGGCCCTGAACTATGTAATAGTCATATCATGATGATAGTATGGTATTTGATAAATATGAAAATGCTTCTTACACAACAATGTAATCATCATACAATCATAATAGGATGGTACTTGCTTAATTAAAAAGGTACTGACACATAATGTGATCATCGTACATTCAGATTTAAACGTGTACTTACCAGATAGCATAATCGGACGGTAGGGCTTTGCAGGTGACGTCGCCCACGAGCGAGGCAAATGCACAGGGAATCTACAGGGCGCCATGGCTCAAGAAACGGGGTTTGGGGTTTTAGGGGTTTAGGGGTTTTAGGGTTTTAGGGTTTTAGGGGTTAAGGGGTTGGGTTAAGGGTTAAGGGTTTAGGGTTTAGGGTTGCCGTGGCACCTTTCAACCACACGGGGGCCTGAGCTTTGATTGATTTGCACGTGACGTTGCAGTTCGATGTCGCCATTTTTTGGCGCTGCACAGGACTCTAACCCTAGCAAGTAGAACCCTACCTGCCCCGTGGAAACTTGTGTTTTTACATCGCTCCTCCCCCTCCCCCCTCCCCAAGCTAACCCGGAGAGCCCAATACCCCTTACATTAGGGATCCCTTGATCTCCCAGTGGGTTTATACTGTAGGGTTTAGGGGTTAGGGCGGTTCGGGTTTAGGGTTGAGGGTTGAACACTGAGGCTAGGGAGGGCGCCGTGCGGCGCCGCATGCTTAAGCGCACGTTTTGGACCAAATCGCGCTCTCGCCTGGGCTCGGGCTTGGCCCCGCTCGCCGCCCTTGAAAACTGTTTTGGGGTTTACGAGGGGTACCTTACAGGGGTCCTTATGATAAGCGGATCCTACTATGTCAGGGTCTCTATAATAGGGGTCCCTTATTACCCTAAACCGTCGGTTTAGGGTTTAGGGTTTAGGGTTTAGGGTTTAGGGTTTAGGGTTTAGGGTTTAGGGTTTAGGGTTTAGGGTTTAGGGAACCTGTCGTCGCTTTTGAACGCCTGGGCCCGCCATCCTGGAGACTGGCGTCGCTTCTGGACTTCCGGGCTCCACATGGTCACTCACTGTTCAGGGTTTAGGGTTTAGGGTTTAGGGTTTAGGGTTTAGGGTTTAGGGTTTAGGGCTTAGGGCTTAGGGCTTAGGGCTTAGGGCCTATGCTGGCGTGATGCATAATTTGGCGTACAATTCCTTCCTTCAGGGGTATGGGGGCCCCTTGGAAACTCCGTGGCCAAGGTTCGGATCGTTGAAGCAGGGAGCGAGGTCGTGATCGAAGCGCGGACGGACTGGATGGGCCTCTCTGCAGACGAGGAGCCATAGTGAGGGATTAGGGTTTAGGGTTTGGGGTTTAGGGTTTAGGGTTTAGGGTTTGGGGTTTAGGGTTTAGGGTTTAGGGGGGTTTTAGGGGTTAGGGGGGTTTAGGGTTTAGGGGGTTTAGGGTTTCGGGGGGTTTTAAGGCATTTTAAGGGTTTAGGGAGCCCAAACTCGATGGCGCCGGGGTGCCAAGCCGAAACGGGGGCCTTCAGGAGTACATTAGGGGTCCCATATCTTCGAAGACCCCCAAATCTCAAGGGCCTGGAGCCCATTGATTTCTGAGAGTCCCTTTCGGAAACCCTGTTTTGGGGGAGGGGGGGAGGGGGTGGGGGGACAGTGATAAGGCGCAGCTTCTCCTTAGTTGGAGAGTGTGTCGGGCTCTTGGGAAGGAGGCCTGGGCTTTGAGGTTCGAAGGTTCCGGCCTTTCAATTCTGGCGATCCGGAATGACATTCTCCGACTCTTGGTTCTGGACCCTCTCATGTGGGGCCCTTTTTTTGACCCCCCCCCAAGTAGTAGGATCCCCTGAAAAGCAAGGACCCCGATAAGGAGTTCGGAAACACCCATGTGCTGTTCTGGGGCTGGGTTTGCTGCGGGTGCTACAGCGGCTGCATGGCTTTTTTTTTTTTGCCAGGACACTACCCACGTGGCCAACTTCGTCGCCGACCCGAACTTCCTCTGAAGCCACCACTTTGTAGGGACTAAACCCGAAACCCGAAACCCTAAACCCTAAACTCCCTAAACCCGATGGTTGCGCCGATGCTCAAGAAAGAAGGATGACGGCAGGGACCGCTTGTGCTTGAAGAATTAGCCCTAGCAGCCTCATGCGGACCAACCATGATACCCAACGTAGTGAGAGCTTCTACTCTCACTAGTTTTACCTCTCCCTCTCTCTCTCTCTCTTTCCTTTTTTTATTTTTATTTTTGTTTTTAAGTTTTGTGATTACTATTTTTAGAGCATTATTGCTACTATTGAAACTACTGCTATCGCCACAGACTTGCTTGTGGATCAGCCCGGAAGGTGGAGACTTCCCAGTGGCCCCCTAATGGCCTCAACGCCCTCGTCACTTTGTTTGCTCCCTCTGACCCAAAGGCCATGCAAAATCCCATCAGTCCGCCCCAAATCCTGCACCCTGTCCCCCAAACCCTAAACCCAAAACCCTAAACCCTAAACCCTAAACCCCAAACCCCAAACCCTAAACCCTAAGCCCTGAACCTCAACCTAAAACCCCCCCGCCCCCCTCCCCGTCCTCCCCGGCGTCTCCCCTGATCCTGGGCTTGAACGCCCTGCCTCAACCCTAAACCCTGAACCCTAAACCCTAAACCCTACCCTATGAGCTTGGCCAGGCCGCTTTCCGGATGCAGAGGCCCAGGCCCCCCCTGCATCGGCGGATCATGTGAGAGGGTCTACGTACATCTATGCACTTTCCTTCGCGACGGACTTAAGCCCACCGAAGATGCCCCCGTGAGGACTTGCCCGGATCAGTGGACGGGACTTCGGCGAGGCGACGATTTGCCCCGGCCAGCTTAAGTCCCTTTTCCTCCTCCAGCTTCAGGCTTCGGGGACTTTCCTGAGGGATCGCTGTGGGGCTGCCTCTGCCGCAGTTCTGGGCTCATAAGTAAGAGGATTGACTTGGGTGACACACCACAAAGGCCTCTAACACTCATGTGTGGTGCGGTTGCAGCCATCACCCTACAGGAACGCGGAGGAGGAGGTGACCTACCCGCCCTCACCACCCTCCCCAGCATCGCCAGCTCCCTGGGAGGAGGACGGCTGCCATGCACATGGATCGAAAGTCGGCCGATAGGAGTACTATGAGATTGGCAAGTTGCCTCCGCCTATAAGAGAGCATTTCTTATTTCTTAGCAGTGACGTAGCAGTCCTCGACTGCAGCCAAGTTCGAGCGTACGGCGTAGGGTTGAACCTGGCAAGGACACGATGATCATCCACCACGTGCTGCCAGGCACTGCCCCCCCTTCCTTGAGAACGCTGAAGCCCAGCAGCCTTTTGGCATCTGTTGCAGGGTGCCAGACTTCAAGGAGTTTCTGGATCCTTCCGGATCTTTCCGACTCGTTCAGTAAGATTTCACCAACATCTGCATGCCAAAGCTCACCACATGTCCTAGAGCTGAAGCGGTACCCTGTCCTGGGTTTGGCTTATCGATGCATCGAGGTGCTCATGAAGCATCTGGCCTCGAAAGTGTGGTGGAGCCGATGCAGGAAATCAAGGGGGTGAGCCCTATAAAGTGTCAAGAGACCCTTACCCCCCAACCCCCACCTGCGTGTTGGACAGTTGCGAGCTATGCGACAACGCCTTTGTGGTACTTTACCGTAACTTTAGATCCTTACCTTTTTTGGGCTTATTGGGTTTCTTAGTAAGGCAGCCAAAAGTTTAATTTATAGCTACCCTCCTGAGTGCAGCCAATACGCGCTGCGTACTACACTTGGTTGAAAGCACAAACGGCGCTGAAATTGTTGTGGCAAGATCATCGACGCCCAACGCCCAGCGGTCAAGCAATCGGGGCATACATACCACCATCCCGCCACACCCCTGCCACACCACACCCCTACGACACCCCCTAGCCCGATTTTGCAGGTCAAGCCACACCACACCTCCACCACACCCCCCAGCTCGATTTGGCAGAACACTTGAGCAGCCTTCTCTTTTGGCGGCAGTTCCGCAACTTCATCTGAATAGGACTTGCATCGTACTGTCCTGTGCGTTGCAGGAGGCGGAGGAGGAGGAGGACAAGGAAGAGGAGCTTGGTGAAGTTGTCCAAACCCGAGGGATGGGTGGCCGAAGCATGTCGGGCAGCAGCGTCCGCTTCCAGCACGAGCCAGACGTGGTCCACTTCGACACTGATGTCCCTGATAAAGAGGAGCCCTTGGCCATCGCCTCCGAGCCTGCTGAAGCTGAGCCTGCTGAAGCAGAGGCGCCAAGCACGGCGCCTGCTCAAGCAGGGGAGCCAGCCGAGGCTGTGGAGAAGCCCGACCTGGCTGGCGGCCCTGCATCAGAGGTAGAGGCCGCTGACACTGCAGAGCCTGCGGAAGCAGAGCCTGTGGCAAAGAGCCTTCAGCCTTTGCTTCAAGCCACACAGCTGGAACCGGAATCTTCCGACGCCCAGCCCGTGGCATCAAATGCCACCGATGTGGGGCACGCGCCCAAACAGGCGGCGCCGGAGGCGCCGGAAGCGCCGGAGGCGGCGGTGGCCACAGCGGTGGCCCCGGCCTCACAAAGCTTGGCAGCAGCTGCAGAGCTGGCGACCACGACCCGGCCGTGCCCTAGCGTTCCCTTAACGGTTTTTTCTGTCGGGAAGTCAGGGTCCCTGGCATGTAAGAAAGTCGCCTATGGTGGGAGCACACAGCCCTCAGACTCAGGAAAGCTGCTGCCGAGGAGACCGCGGCAGCCACCAAAGCGGTTGCTCGGGCCCAGGCAAGTGCGCAAAGTGCAGCGTAGGCAGTATAGAGCCTGTGGATGGCTTGCTAGTATGGCTCATTGGCTTCAGAATGTGTAAGGTGTTATAAAAGTGTTCTGTATAAAGGGTTGGGCGTATGCGGGGTGAGGCTCTGCATCTTGCGTCTTCACTTGACGTTGACCCTGAATGACTCAGACGTGATTCCAGTATGCGATTAGACAGCGTCATTTTCTACTCAGCTGAGTTGTTAAACTGCAGGACTCGTTGGGGGTCTTATCACTACTGTGACTGTTATTATCGTTACAATTTCTGTTGATATCATGGCTACTAGTATATAACATTGTGCCAGTACTCGTAGTATTGGATAACGGCCTGAGAAGCACCTTGCTGCTTGGCGATCTGCCAAGCACCTGTTTGAGTATCACCCTCAGTACCTCCCCAACCTCCCCAACCTCCCCAACCTCCCCGAACCTCCCCAACCTCCCCAACCTCTGCCGCAGCCCGCGCATTCCGCCGCAAAGGGGCGACCCAGCCCCAAGGCACGACCTGCCATGCTGTCGGGGCGAGAAGTGCTGAGATTGGTACGGTGTGTTCCTTCATATTTGTCTTGAAGAGTTGGTTTGACAGTCACACGTGCAGCACTGCGAAGGTTTCTAAATAAGTGATCAGTAGGAAGGCAAGTTCCAAGAAGCAAGGTGCGATTGCGCATGCCAGCCGCATCCGACGCCTCTGTTGCCTGAGGCGCCAGCTTCCGCGCCCAAATCAGCGCCACCCGCGAAGGCTGCAGCTGCAAAGCCAGCGCCAGCGAAAGCAGCGCCAGCGAAAGCAGCGCCGCAGGTGGCGAAAGCGCCGCCGTCCTCTGCGAAAGCGGCGCCGCCCGCAGCGAAAGGGGGTCCCTGCACGGCAAAGGCCGGGCCTTCCACAAAGGCAACGCCTTCTGCTGGAAAGGCCGCGCCCGCGGTGCCGAAAACGGCGCAGCTGGAGCCCAAGACTTCGAGTTGATGTGAGTATAGCATAGGGGCCTGAATGATTGGAATAGGGTTTGGGGGTTATTCTAGCTAGTATAATTACAAAGGGACCCTAAGGTAACATTACTAGCAACCATTCCGACCCCTATGTTGGGTCCTTTTAGGATGATCATGGCAGCAGCGGCCATCATCAGCAACCATCGTAGCCGCAGCTGCAACCGTCATGGCAGCACAGGGCACCGGTACCTGGCAGTAGCAATCGCAAGATGGTGGACACCAGTGCAGAACAGCATCATGTTCAAGGCATGTAGCTACCCGCTCATGCATTCTGCATACTTCAGCGAAATTGTCTAACGCTTTTATTCATGGAGCCCATCATGAACGGATGCGGCTCACGAATTCTAAATCCAAATCCTACACAGACCCTAAATTCCAAAAACTCACCGTGCAAGCCCAAACCCCAAGAATAATTCCCCAAACCCTAAACCCTAAACCCTCAACCCTCAACCCTCTACCCTCAACCCTCAGCTCTCAACTCTCAACCCTCAACCCTCAACCCTAAATCCCAAACTCAAACCCCAACCCGGTGACCCTCCCTCCGCCCCCAGGCGGCGCGCACGAAGCCAGGACGACGAGCGCCGGCAGCGGTTGCCCGGCAGCCGGCGGCAGAGCGCCGAGGCCCGGGCTGCGGGCTTTAGGGTTTAGGGTTCAGGGTTTAGGGTTTGGGGGTTTAGGGTATAGGGTTTGGGGGTTTAGGGTTTAGGGTTTGGGGTTTAGGGTTTGAGGAGGTTTGGGGTTTGAGGAGGTTTGGGGCATTTTGGATGTGTGCCGAAGCCCTGCAAGCCCTGTCGCACCTAGGCCCCCAAAACACTGTACCGTAAACACCCCAAAACAAACTCTAAACCCTAAACGCTATGAGGGGTTGGGGTGTTTGGGGTTAGAGGTTCAGGGGTTAGGGGTTTAGGGGTTTAGGGGTTTAAGGGTTTAGGGGTTTAAGGGTTTAGGGGTTTTGGGGTTCAGGCGATTAGGGGTTTGGGGGTTTAGGTTTCGGCATTGGTGTGTGAAAGGGACAAGATCAGAGCCCAAGAGATCTTGGGATATTTGCATATTTGCATGAACATAGTTGGGCTAAGAAGGAATCGTAGGAAGCTGGGGTTAAGGAGGATGAGAGTCAGGGTAGGGGTTTCAGAGGGTTTAGAGGGCCAACCGCCATCGACTCCCTTGAGGTGTCGAAGGCGACCTCCGACGCGCTTTCTGCCACGCAGGCGCCGCTAAGGAACCAGACCCCAGAACCCCGACCATCCTCAACCCCAAACCCCCAAACCCCCAAACCCCCAAACCCCCAAGCCCCCAAGCCCCCAAGCCCCCAAGCCCCCAAGCCCCCAAGCCCCCAAGCCCCCAAGCCCCCAAGCCCCCAAGCCCCCAAGCCCCCAAGCCCCAAGCCCCCAACCCTTCACCATACCACCCCTTGTTTATTCCCGCATGTCAGCCCCGCTTCCAGATTTCTTCTAGCCCGTGTCTGACTGGGTGAACAGCCATGGATCCTGGCCCTACATCCCCAAAGCCCAGACTAACGCTCCCTTACGACATGGGTTTTTAGGGTGTTGGGAACTTTCTTCTGGGTAGTTCCCTGGATTAGGAACTGCCCATGCAGACCCTGCCCAGGCAAACCCTAAACCCTAAACTCTAAGCTCTAAACCCCAAACCCTCAACCCTAAACCCTAGACCCGAATTTTGCGTGCGCCAACAGGGCAAGGAGAAGCCGAAACCTGCGTGGGGAGGCAGTGGCAAGCTGGCGGTCAGGCCCAACACTTTGGGCTCTTAAGGGTTTTAGGGTTTCTGGGGTTTAGGGTTTAGGGTCTAGGGTAGGGTTTAGGGGTTCAGGGTTTCAGGCTAGGGTTTCAGGGCTTAGGGCTTGGGGTTTAGGGTTTCGGGTTTAGGTCTTGTCTCCCACTTGAAGTCTACTCCTGCATCCTGCAGGACCGCCGAAGTGCGACGCGCCTCGCCCAGGCCGAAGGCGAGAGGATTGAAGGGCAAGGGTGCATAGGGAGTGATTATGGGAGGTGTAGAAGGGATGCTCCCCCCTGATACTAGCAGTCCTTGAAAGGGATTACAGTAACCCCCCCCCCCCCCCATTGAAATCCCTATTAAGGACTGCTAGCATAAGGGGGAACATCCAGTTGAGAGGGCTTACAGGGCTTACAGAGCTTGTAGGGTTTACAGTGTCCAGGAGTAGGAAGGATCAGTGGCCGAGGCGTTGGGGCCCTTTTTTGCAAAACCCAACGAACACTTGTTGGGACTTGCAAAGTGGTAGCCCCTGCAACGCAAGGCAAGACATATGAGAGCCTCGGGTGAGCAACCATTCACAATTTTAGGGTTTAGGGTTTAGGGTTTAGGGTTTAGGGTTTAGGGTTTAGGGTTTAGGGTTTAGGGTTTAGGGTTTAGCACGATCGTAACGGAAGAGGCTTTTGAGCGCAGCGACATTGGCCCTGACTGCGGTGGAAAGCGATATGACCACAGTGGCCAGCGTTTCGTTGAAAAGCTCCTTGTACAAATCCCCGGTCAGGTCCCTGGCGCTGCCCGATCAACGAAGGCGTGATTTTCATCCGGGCCGATCCTGTCCCGTCAGGGATTAGCTTCTCGAAGCGGCAGTGGATTCATGCCACAGCCAGAGCTGGATACGCCCTTGGTCTTTCTCTTTTTTGTATTTTTCCAGAGGGTGGTGAAGGCCAAGCTAGGGCAGAAAGTTCTCCATGCGCTTTCTGAGGGGCCACCCCCCAATGGGATGCCTTCATGTTGCACTGCCTGATTCTTTGGGGCAACCTCCGAATAAGCTTGTGTTGGTATCCAGAAACGACAGGGAACAAGCCCCAACTCGTACGAAAATGGCACAGGCCGCCTCAACTTCCGACCTTCGCACGGCGCCGGAGAAGTCAGGCCGCCTTTCCTCCTTGAAGGAGAGTTTAGGGGTTTGAGCGCATTTCGGGTGGTTGGTGACGGTTGGTGCAATTCAGCCCTGAAAGCTAACTTTATACACCCCAACAACCCCAAACGCTAAGCAGAATGTGCTTGTGAGCTTGTTATTGCCCTGCGATATGGCCCTGAGCTGAAATTTGAGCAAGTGCCGTGTACAGCAAGGCAGCGATCACTGCAGGTGAGAAGCAGGGTGTGTTGCTGGGCAAGGCTTTACCACCCTAAACCCTAACCCCTAAACCCAGACTCCAGGACCTCACCCCGCAACCAAGAGGTTGGGTTTCGGGCAGCCCCCAGCAGCCTCGAAGGATCACAAGCATCATCCCTGAACTTCCAAGCCCCATCATTTCGGGTCCCTAAACTTCATGCATGAGCCTTCACAAAAGCCCCCCCCCCCCCTCCTCCCCCCCGCCCTCCCAGGGTTAGGGTTTAGGGTTTAGGGTTTAGGGTTTAGGGTTTAGGGTTTAGGGTTTAGGGTTTAGGGTTTAGGGTTTAGGGTTTAGGGTTTAGGGTTTAGGGTTTAGGGCCAATGCTCTCGGGAGGCTCGACCCAGCTGCCGGCGCAGGAGAAGGCACCCGTCGCAGCTGCAGCTGGCGAGGCGAAGGCCCCCCTGTTGGCTTTGGATCCCGGTCTGGCTGTCCGCAGTGAGCCTGCACAGGTGGCATGAACAAGGGTTTAGGGTCAGGGTTTAGGGTTTAGGGGTTAGGGTTTAGGGTTTAGGGTTTAGGGTTTAGGGCTTCATGAACAAACCAGAGGATTGCTGGAGAGCTATCATCAGCCGTTTTCTTCTTGTAGTGCCTCCACAAAGTCGCAACAGCCCCAAGGTGCGGCCCTGCCCGCGAGCCTTAGGGTTGAGCAACGGACGTGGGTCGATGCCAGATTCGTAGATGTTGCTCGCAGGCGCCATGTCTCGGATCTCGCGATGTTGTAGGCTGTGCTCTCTCCAGAATCGCGACACCTCCCGCGGCTTTCTCTCTGAGCCCTTTCTCTTGTAGGAACGCTGCTAAGTCCTAGTGATTCTTGGTGGAGGTTTCCCATGGCCTAAGTACCCTTTTTAAACAGGTTCCTGTAATACGGTAATACGGAATTTAGAGGGTTGTTTTTGTGGATATGAGGGGTACCCGCCTATCTCACTTCATCTCATGTTGTTTCCACTTCATGCATAACGGAAGGGAAAGCCACTTGGAAGGTCCCGTCGAAACGGCGCGTGTCGGAGGGACAGGCCTGGACTGTAAGGAAGGGCCTGAATCACTAGAATTGGGGTTTAGGGCGTGATTTAAAAAACAATGAAGGGACCCTAAGGGAACACCCTAAGGGAATACTACTCGTACTTATTCCGACCCCAATAGAAGCAACGCAACGCAGCCGGTCGCCGGGTGTGTCGCAGAGCTTTCGAAGTCTTTTTTACTTTCGACTCATGGCCCTGTGAAGGTTCTCGCGAAGAGAAGACCTGCAACATAGAAATCTTACACAGCTTTCAGAAGCAAACAGAAGCACAGATTCACCAAGGATGCCAAAAAGGCGAACGTCTCGAGCATGGCCGCTTCTCGTCCACAAGCACGCTCTGAACAATGTCATTCCCTAAACCTTAACCCCTAAACCTTAACCCCTAAACCCTAAACCCTAAACCCTAAACCCTAAACCCTAAACCCTAAACCCTAAAATCTCTTTCCCTACCTGAGAAGCCCCTGCATCCAACCCCACACCCTGTAGACCCTTAAACCCTAAACCCTAAACCCTAAACCTAAAACCCTCAAACCCTAAACCCTAAACCCTAAAACCCTTAAGCCCTAAACCACCCCCCCCCCCCCCTCCGAAGCAAGCAGCTATGAGCCCCTTGAGCCCTTAACAGGGGGAAGCCCTCGGCTTTGCCGAACGGACAAACTTCGAGACATCCAAGAACAGATTAGCTAGGGTTTAGGGTTTAGGGCTTAGAGTTTAGGGTTTAGGGTTTGGGGTTTAGGGTTTAGGGTTTAGGACTGGGGCGCTGAAATGGGGAAGAGTTCTAAAGCAGTGTGGGGAATGGAAGACAGGGCCAAGAACCCTACCAGAAGCACTGAAGTTTCCCGAAGGTCGTGCAGCGACAACCCGAAACCCTAAACCCTACACCCCAAACCCTAAACCCTAAACCCTAAAACCTAAACCCTAAACCCTAAACCCTAAACCCTATACCCTAAACCCTAAACCCTAGAGCCCCAGAATCATGGACCTCACCTGCGCGAGGCCGCCTTAGAGAAGATGGCGAAGGCTTTGGAAAAGAACGTGAAGGCAGCCCAGGCGAGCGGAAGGGTTTAGGGTTTAGGGTTTAGGGTTTAGAATCGAGTTGAGGTTTTGGAAA